CGGACGGTACGGGGACCAGTCTCGTACCAGTTCTCTGCTGCTGTACTTGTACTCAGTGTGACTTGCCGTTTCGGCATTGGGAATCCAAGACTTCGACTTTGTGCCTTGCCACTGTGTCTGCGTCCAACCCTCAGTCTGAGTCCGTCGTGTTGAGTGAGTGAGTGTGTGTGTGTGCTCTCACTCTCTCCCTCTCTCTCTCCTCTCCCTCGGCTCACCCTCAGCCTCACTCCCGTTACAAGTACCCGCTCCGAGAGCGTACGAAGGCTCGACGCGCCAGCCAGCCGGGCGGGACTGCCCTCAATGGTCGTGCGACAAGGACCCCCCTAAGGCCGTCTCCAACCTGCACAACCTTCAAAAAAAAAAAAAAAAAAAAAAAACCAATTGTGAGAGCATGGATGGCAAGAGTCCAAGTGGCTAGGACACCGGTTAGAAATGCGCATTGTGGTATCAGGTTGCGGGTTCAAATCCGCTTCCTTGCGCATAGGCTGCCGTGTCGCGCTCTCATAGCGCACAGCAATCCACACACCGGTTGTTGCGGGTTGGAGTCGGTGTTGGGGGGATCGAGTCCCGACTGCAGTCTGTTCCTGGGGGGGGAAGGGTTCACATTGTCGATGTGGGAATTGTCGGGTTGTGCTGATGACGCGCACATGGGGGATTCCGTGTGGGCATAAAATAGCCGTGCACGATCTGAGGGATTGAGGACCCTGACAAAAAATGCGGGGTCGCGGAGGCGGAAAAAACTGCATCGGCTTGTGGGGGCCGTTACCGCCTGGTGGCTTTACCGGAAAAAATCTGAAATATCCTGAAAAAAGTCAGGTCCACGTAGGGGGAAGGTAGCAAGTAGTAGGAGTAGGCTAGTCTCTCTTCAGGAGGGGGCGCCTCAAACGGGTTCTTCCATAGCAGGGATGGGCACCACAGGGATATAGGGTGCGACTGGGTGTGAGAGCCTCCTGGTACAAAATATCTCTGTGGGAACCGTGGTCTGAGTTCGGGGGTGCCCTGATGTGTTGCATGCGGCTAAGGAGCGTCAGTCATAGTCGATACTCTCCCAAAATCTCCCGGGTACTGAGAATGTGTGCTGTCTCTGAGGGTCTTAACTGGTTCAATAGGGGTGTAGGAAGGGGTTGGAACATACAATACCATTGAGGGTAGGGCCTTCTACGCAGGTCTCGCTTGGCGAGTGTAGTACCCGCTCCGAGAGCGTAGGAAGGCTCGACGCGCCAGCCAGCCTGGCAGAGCTGCCCTCAATGGCCGTGCGACAAGGACCCCCCTAAGGCCATCTCCAACCTGCACAACCTTTAAAAAAGAAAAAGAAAAAGAAAAAAAATAATAAATAAATAAATAAATTGTGAGAGCGTGGATGGCAAGAGTCCAAGTGGTTAGGACACCGGTTAGAAATGCGCATTGTGGTATCAGGTTGCAGGTTCAAATCCGCTTCCTTGCGCATAGGCTGCCGTTTCGCGCTCTCATAGCGCACAACCATCCACACACCGGTTGCTGCGGGTTGGAGTCGGTGTTGGGGGGATCGAGTCCCGGCTGCAGTTTGTATTTGGGGGGGGACGGGTGCACATTGACGATGTGGGAATTGTCGGGTTGCGATGATGACGCGCACGTGGGGGATTCCGTGTGGGCATAAAATAGCCGTGCACGATGTGAGGGATTGAGGGCCCTGACAAAAAATGCGGGGTCGCGGAGGCGGAAAAAACTGCGTCGGCCTGTGGGGGCCGTTACCGCCTGGGGGCTTTACCGGAAAAAATCTGAAATATCCTGAAAAAAATCAGGTCCACGTAGGGGGGAGGTAGCTAGGAGTAGGAGTAGGCTAGTCTCTCTCTGGGAGGGGCCACTCAAACGGGTTCTTCCATAGCAGGGATGGGCACCACAGGGATATAGGGTGCGACTGGGTGTGAGAGCCTCCTGGTACAAAGTATCTCTGTGGGAACCGTGGTCTGAGTTCGAGGGTGCCCTGATGTGTTGCATGCGGCTGAGGAGCCTCAGTCGTAGTCGATACTCTCCCAAGATCTCCCGGGTACTGAGAATGTGTGCTGTCTCTGAGGGTCTTAACTGGTTCAATAGGGGTGTAGGAAGGGGTTGGAACATACGATACCATTGCGGGTAGGGCCGTTTGCGCAGGTCTCGCTTAGAGAGTGTACTACCCGGTCCGAGAGCGTAGGAAGGCTCGACGCGCCAGCCAGCCGGGCGGGACTGCCCTCAATGCCAGTGTGACAAGGACCCCCCTAAGGCCGTCTCCAACCTGCACAACCTTTATAAAAAAAAAAAAAAAACACAAAAAGAAAACAAATTGTGAAAGCATGTCCTATCGATCCTTTAGCGTTTCAGGACTTGAAGCTAGAGGTGTCAGAAAAGTTACCACAGGGATAACTGGCTTGTGGCAGCCAAGCGTTCATAGCGACGTTGCTTTTTGATCCTTCGATGTCGGTTCTTCCTATCATTGTGAAGCAGAATTCACCAAGTGTTGGATTTTTCACCCACCAATAGGGAACGTGAGCTGGGTTTAGACCGTCGTGAGACAGGTTAGTTTTACCCTACTGATGCACCGCCGTCGCAATGGTAATCCTACCCAGTACGAGAGGAATCGTTGGTTCGCACAATTGGCAATTGTGCTTGGCTTAAAAGCCAGCGGTGCAAAGCTACCGTGCGTGGGATTATGACAGAACGCCTCTAAGTCAGAATCTGTGCTTGCAGCGATGGCGTATGCCTCCTCGGATGACACAAGGCTGTCGATAGGGCCAGCCCGTCTGGCCCCGAAAGCATAAGTTCRGAGTTGTCCCTCCTGCGGCGGAGGACCGACGCCCTGGGGTCTCTTCATCGCAATTTCTTTCGCTCAGGGAGTCAAACCCTTTGCAGACGACTTAGACAGGGAACGGGGTGTTGTAAGCAGTAGAGTGGCCTTGTCGTTACGATCTGTTGAGATTCGGCCCTTTGTTCCAAAGGTTTCCCCCACCTTCTTGCTCCCCACCCCTCCTCAAATGTTTGAACGACGGTCATCCGCGTCTGATGAGAGCCGTCGCCCTTGTATAGGGGCCGACGAGCTGCTTGCTTCTTCTTTTTTTTTTTCCTTTTTTTTTTTTTTCCAGTTTTGCTGCTTCCGTCTGAAGCATCTTTTGCCCGATGTGGTACTCGACTTTCAGCTCAAATGAGAACTGTGCCCAAGCCCATGTTGGGGTGGGTGCCAAGTTGTAAGCTTCTGGCCACTGCGGCACGCGATCTGTCCGAAAGCATGGATATGTGTCCGCGTGTCTTCCTGTACTTGACCCGGTGGGCGTTTGTGCATGCCACRTTGTCCGATGTCGCCCCATACGGCCTGCCACTTTGGCTGCACGGAGACCTGGGACCAAAGGCTGGATCGACGTGAGTGCCACATTGT